ACAATACCAGATTACGTGGTTACATTTGTGATCAGGATATCTGCTACACCTGCTGAAATGAAATACTCACATTTGAATTGAAGGAAACAGTTAAAGCAAGTTAAATCAAATGATTCAAAACATTCTGTGCAAATCCTATGTTCCTTCTAACTGTACCACTGGAAAGGGCTGAGAAATACTTCATGAGAGAGTGAAGAGAAGCAGCATGGAAGAAAAAGATACAGATGCATGGGAATATGGAGGTAACAGTAAAGCTCAAGAATGGGATAAAGAGAAGCAGCTATTCCCGATGCCACATTCATTGATTTTTTCATGAGCACCAAGAGTACAAACATAATGCAGCCTGGCTTTTTTCCTCTGAAATTTGAAGAGCCTCCAACACATAACATTTACATTGACTTCATCAGTTCCCTACTTCATTCACACTTTAAGGAAAGAAAAATCTATAATATGCATGGAAGGCTTGAGAAATGCTGACTTGAATTTTTCAGATGCACTTTTTTTTCTCCCATTCCCCTGCTGATAATAAATATCAAGAACAGTGAGTGCCCTCTTCCCTGTGTTGCCTGGAAACTTCTCAGGTGTTTTATACACGGACTTGGAGCTTTTAAAGTATTCCCAAGATAGGTCTTTAAAGTATTCCCAAGATAGGTCAGGCTGATACAAATATATTTTTCCCATTTTGTTAGATGAATGCTAAGGTTAAACAATTGTTAAAAGAATATAAACAAACAGAATCTCAAACAAATTTAAAACGCCAGGGTTAGAAGTCACTTTGCCCCTCCTCAGAGGTGCTGCAGCGCCTGTTGAAACCAATTCTGGGACCAGCTTGCAATTGTCCACTGCAAGGTCAGTCCCTCCCAAACCCCAAATAATCACAGAACCACCTCCCCTAACAAAAAATAAAGACAACATAGCACCAGGGTAGCCTCCTACTTAAAAATGTAAATCAAGGCTGTGACTAACCAATTGCTTCTGTAAATTATTACCTATTGCTTAAGCAAAATAAATTGGGAGACAATACGAAAGAACAATCCTGTGACCTTTCGTTTCTGCCTAATCTATAATCCATTAGAGCTGGGTTGATGCAATCACTTTATGAAGCACTTAGAGAGCAGAGAGCGTAGTGCAAATAGCAAGTCCCTCTGGGAATGCTGGACTGTCTTCCTCTGAAAAAAATGCGGTAAGAGTTCAAAACACCATAGTGACCACCTTGTTTTCTTCCCACACACACAATTCGCAATGACTAAATCGCTTGGAAGTGGTTGTAATGTGAGCAGAATACAGCTTTTCCTTTTACAGCTCTGCAAAATGTGTTGTAGGCCAAAGGATAACCTTTTAAAGACTTTCAAAAAAAACAACACTGGAGCTGGAGGATCTGATGGGGATTGCTTAAAACAGAAGGAAGTTATTATTGCTATTGACAGTGTAGCAACATGCTTACAGAATAACAAAAACCCCTCACACCTTCTCAGTACAAGTAATTTGTTTCAGTTTGCCTATGGCATGTCATATATGCTTGACATCATTAATACTCTCATGAGCAATTAACACAGGGTAGTGGTCAAAGACCAGATTAGCCTCATCAACCTCTGTGTCTGGATCTTGTTTCTTGCATTCAATCTCTCTAGGTTGTTGATCAAGTCATTAAACAGCTGAGTTTGTATGCCTCAGAAGGGTTTCTCTAACTATCAACAGCCATGCCTTCCACTTTTTGGTCAAATGTGTGTATGTGCACTTAAAAGCCTTCTAGCCCCATGGACACATGCTATGTCATATTCTTTTTCAGGCATTTGGGATTTTTCTTTTCACAGAATCACAGAATCTTCAGAGTTGGAAGGGACCTCTAGAGATCATCTAGTCCAACTCCCCTGCTAAAGCAGGATTGCCTAGAGCACATTACTCAGGACTGCATCCAGGCGGGTTTTGAAAATCTCCAGAGAAGGAGACTCCACAACCTCCCTGGGCAGCCTGTGCCAGTGCTCTGTCACCCGAACTGTAAAGAAGTTTTTCCATGTCTTGGAACGGAACTTCCTATGTTCCAACTTGTGCCCATTGCCCCTCATCCTGTCACTGGGAACCACCGAGAAGGACGAGGGGCAATGGGTGCAAGTTTCTTTAGTTTTTGGGTGGTTCAAGGGCTCTTCACCTTAACAGGGATAGGACTGCTGCAAGCAACAACCTGTTTCCTTCTTCAGAAATAGCAGGTTCCTGTGCATCCTAAAGTCTAGTCCTCAGTTCAGCCAAATTAGTGTCTCCGAAGGTTCCTAAGTTCACGTTGTTGATGAAGCCCACACGTTCTCAGATGTAAGCTATCTACTCCAGCTGCTCTCACTGGAGTGTTTCTCCATGATAAATCCTTTTATCTGGGGTTCCCAGCAAGTCGGCAGCAAGACCTGGGTATGATTGTTCTCCACAAGCAGAAGCAGAGGAAGCACACTGATGGTGACAATAGGTTTTCCACCCATTCAGTTTCCTTTTTCTGTAACAGCTGCAGGGAAAAGAAACAAACCCCAGAACCTTCCCAGCCTCTGCTTACCAATTCCCAGACTCTTTTCAGTGGCTGCAGTAGCTCTGCCCCCATGTCTCTGGAAACTTTGGACAGCTGACTGGATAGGAAGAACAGGTATTTTTAAATTTCTTCAGAACTTTGCAATACACTCTTATTAGTTTACCTTTCTTAACATAGTATCAATTAATTACTTTGCATACCTTTATCATTCTGATTCTTTAATGAAAAATTCTTAAAATTGTACAAACTGCTTTTACTTGAGAAGAAAAAGAAGGTGTCAAATAGATTTCTGCTTGTCAGACTGAATGGTAAAACATGCTTTATGTTTCCAAATCCAAAATTAGCAATGCAATCAGAAACACCCATTTGATTGCAGTCTTTAGATTGTAGAACTGGTTTTCATTATAGTTGTCAAAGCAGGACTGGAATCCACTGTTGCTGCACCAAAGCAGAGTGTTTGATCACACGGTATGAACGTGGTAGCACTTGTCTCTACAGCAAGGAAAGCTAAAGTCTCTTTCAGTATTTCTCTAAGTTAAGCTGTAGGTCACTATTCAAGAGCTTGCCACCACTATTTCATGGTGAACAAGAAAAAGTTGGGCCCAGATGTTTTATGTTTATTATCTCTCTGGTAAGATCTGTCTGAGTAAGGAGAAGCAACAGAAATAGGTCACATCTCATTTTCTGCTCTTACAGTCTTTTTTTTTTTTTTTTTTTTTTTGTTATGGTTCCCAATTCAATTAGATTTTAAAAATTGGATATAGCAAGAAAACGGATAAGGTAAGAAGTGAAGAGTCTCACCCAGCAAAGTCTGCATTCTCTCGCCAGGTCATGGAGCTGAGGCATAAAATAAAGACAAGGAAAGTACTGTGTCCTGTGGTGCATGCACACATCTCAAATGGCAGATGCGCAGTTCCAGGATCTTTGTGTTATCAGCTGCACTCCTAGGACTTTGCCAAGGAAAAGACGCAGATACTGCGCGTCTTTTTCTGAAGCTGAAGGGGGAAGCATGTGAGTTAGCGAACACGTGAGGGCCCACGCAACAACCCATACAGCTGAAAAGACAGAGGGCAGAATGTCTCCTGGGAGTTAGGGAATGCGTCTGCTCCTCTCTGATCCTCACTAACGCCCTGTAGCAGCCGTGTGAAGTGGAAAAGCAGTTGCGCACTTCAGTCTCACTTAAAATATTTAGACAGATACCGCTGCTTAACCAACGCTGCATCCGGAAGCCCCGCTGTCCCCTCTTCCTCCTGTAGGACACAGGACTTGTGTCCTGTACACATAATAGCCCCTGGGGAGGGGACACGCTGCCTGTCCAGGAGCGACTGAGTTTCCACTCGCCTGCATCAGCTGCTCCTCACGGTTTTGGACGGGTCCCTCTCCTCCCTGACCCCACACGCCCCGCCTGAAGGAACCCGCAGGGGTAAGGCGACACCGAAGGCGCCCCAGGAAGG